AACAGCAGTTGGCAAACCTTGGCCGCATCAAGCTTTCAGCAACCTTCCCATGGACACGGGGTGGGGGTCCCACTGTTCTTGCAGTTTCAAAATCAAAAGTAGATCAATGGGGCTGTTACTACACACTGACTGTAGCTACTGGGAGGGGGGAGCCACCAGCCCCAAACTGTTCCCTTCTTGCACTATTCTGACCTCTGTGTAATACCATTTTATCCACAAAATGTGGTGGTGCCTAATACTGAGAGATGCCAAAAGGTGGGGAAGGTGAAGACACCGGTAAGCATGCTAAATCCTTTAAAGTGGCGCTCCATAAGCTATAGCCCATCGTCTACCTACTAGTGCTCAGTTTACACCACTAGCTTCGCTAGAGATTAGGGTTGTAAATACTCGCCTTAGTGAATGCAACCTTTCTCACTGCCACTGTTGGCAGCATAGAACTGAAGTCTCTGCCTGGCATCTGTAATGCGTCCTGAAATGCTGCAGTGCTCAATCAGTGACTCCATGCTCTCAATGCAAGTGCCACTCCCAGTAGGAGCCACAGCACCATGGTCTTTCCAACAGCATCCTCTAGCAGCTTCCAAAAAGTTCCCTGCAGAGAATACAGACACCACCTCTTTCACAAGATGTCCTGTCCCACCTCTGGGAGGAGAAGCCCTGTAAATACTCCCAGCTTACTAACCCACATGAAGTGCCATCCTTTCCAGAAAGGAAAATGTGGAAGTCTTGCTTTTGATTTATGCCTGAAGCCCAGAGACATACCAAACAAAAAGAGAGCTCATTTCCAGCAGAGAGACACATCTGCAGCACTTGCTAGGTAGTAGTGGAAGTTGCTGCGAAGAGCAGAGCATTTAGTCACCATCAGGCACAGGTGGGAGACACCACAGAAGCACGACAGTTTGAATCAGTGCACAACTCTCCTCCACCTCTAGTCAACAATACGCACATACACACCAGGTGGGCAGCCTACCCTCTGCCAGAAAAGGAGCACGAGTCCTGCTGCTGCCTCGCTTTCTTTTCATGATCAACTGAAACACCCTAGATAAAAGTGCCACTTTTCAGAAGCTGCATCACTGCCACTGTCAACTTTGGCTGTCACCAAGAGCCCTCAGCAGCAAAGAAAGAAAATGCTCAGGAACTGTGAAAGGAGAACAAACTGCTGTAGCAAGAACTAGCAGCTGGGTCTAAGCCTTCCTGGCACCCACTGGTAAGCCACCCAGCCACAGACCACTGGGGAGCTGTGGTTCAAACCAACAGCACTTTCCAGCCACTTTGAGGAACACCCAACTCAACTTGTTCCTATTATCCCTAACCACAAGGACAAGCTGAGTCCCAGGAACGCGGTCAGCCTCCTGGTAACACGCACCAAACTCTGCCATCTAGCCCTAGGTCCGTGCCCCACCTCTTGGCCTCCAGTGAGAGCAATGGCTCTGTGTCTGCCTGTGTCTCACCAGTCAGGCCAGCAAGTCTTCAGGCATTGCTTCAGCTCTCTGGTGCTCTCCAGCCAGTGGGCATGGGCGCACCATCAGGATGCTCAAGCGCAAAATCTGCTGCTTGCCTCGCCTGTCCCTCTCAGCCCTCTGCTGCAACAGCCAGGGAGAGAAACAAAGAACATGAATCCATTTGGGGAAATGAGTGAGACACATGCAACCTCAGCCATCTCTCTCTCTTAGGCTAGAATGAAGGCACCAAAAAAAACCTGCTTCACTAGATGGGGACAGACTCTGTCGGACCTCCTCTCACACAGGCACATGGCAGAAAGGCAGCTGTAGTTAATAGCTTTGTCCCTGGGGCCAAGAGCAAGGAAGAAATGTCTGATACAGCAAACCAAAGCAAAATGCACCGCTAGAGGATGCTGACTGATTTCTGTACACAATGAAAACAGCTGGCTGGGCTAAGGCAGCTCTCACAGAGGGAGAAACATACTCATTTTGGCCATACAGCACTCTTTCTTTGGGCTATTCTGGAGCGTCTGGTGTCCCGTTCCCCCACCCCACCCCCCCATGCATACACACTGCTGATTCAACAGCCTGTGATGCTGACAACCCTCAGCTGTGGCAGCAGAACTCAGTGAAGAAATGTTGTGCACCTATTTGAAATACTGAGGTGTCTCTCTCCCCCCCCCCAAAGTAAACATGTAAATTAAAAAAGGAGAGGGGTGAAGGTTTTGGAGAAGGAGAAGTAACAGGGACAAAACTGGAAACACAACCCTCACTGACTTCACTAGCATGCAATCTATGTAACATTAATATACAAAGCCTGTTTACCTTGGCCTGGTCTATGACCATTACACCACATCATCCCTAAACAAGCCACAGAATTAAAATCTGTACAAAATAAAAAATATGCATAAAACTCAACAAGTTTCTTTACATTAGTACTGCATAATAAAGCATAAAACCAGCAGGAGGTGACCCAAAAATTCCATCCACAGGAGCTCTTGCAGGATAAACAATTCCACACGCTATCAGCAGGGACCAGACTAACCCCTGGCCCATCAGACCAAAGCCAGTTCTTTAAGGAGCTTCACACATTCCACTTTCAAGGTTTTGCAGCCTCATCTTCTGTGCTGAGCTTTGACGAGCATTCAGCACTTCCCAGCGTTCACACTGCTCTGCTCTTGCAACACAGAAAACTTGCAAGATGACCAACCGGCTGAATGAAGATGAGACACGTGTGTACAACACACAGTGGAAGAACACGTTATCCCCACCCAGCTGTCAGAAGTATTCAAGCCCATGCTCTTACACAGAGTTAAAGACACATTTCACTAATATGTGACCTCCTGGCTGGAGCATGGATTCACAGGGAGAGAGGTTCAGCTCTCATTTAGTAACTCACTAAGCTGCCATAACATAGTGCATCTGAGCACTGTGTGCTCAGCCTTCACCACAAACATACCCAGGGCAAGAGAAACCAGGAAAGCTCTGATAGTCCTGGGAAAGAGCTGGAAAACACAGCCACCCTGTGAGCACCAAAGGCTTGTGCAATACTGCTGTTCCATCACCCCGGCTGCTAGCAGGGCTGCAAGCACCACCTCCCTGTGCAAAAAGCATAGACCTGCCCTATGACACTAGGAACAGTCGTCCCAGTGACTGCACAACCCATGTTTCTAGGCTCGCTCCCAGAGAAACGACGGGCTGAGAGAGCTGAACATGGCTGCTTCTGTTAGTCTTGCTGCAAGACAAAAGTTTTCACAGAGGAAGGTAGAAGGGTATCTATTCTGGCTAACACTCATCCCAAACAATAATGCTGTCAGCTTCCAGAAAGAAGACAAATGTCTTGGCTACACGGCTGTGGATTCAGCAGGGAAGAAAGTAACTTCTATCTTCACACCCCTTTCTTCAAAGTTGTACCTCCTGTAGGCTTCAACCAAACTAGTTCCTTACGCACTGTCACAGGAGTTAACGCACTGTTCCGCAAGCTCACAGCAGATGATCAAATTCATCCATATCCCACAAACACACCGCAGCTGTCTGTTTCCTCTTTCCTCCCCCTTGAGCAGCTATGGCACCTCCCTGCCCAGGTTTGCGCCAAACCTGCACCTCCATCCTGATACTGCACTATTACCAAGCAAGGGGATTGGGTCAGTTACCTGTATTGTCGCCAAGACCGACACAAACACAGCCCCGGTAAGTGCTCTCTTGTGCACTGCTCTATTTGACACACAGGCCTCCGAAGACAGCTGCAGCATTGTCTCACCTTTGACAAGCTACGGTTGGTACCAGCTGGAATTGGCCAGGCAACAGTCAGAAATTGCCCGGAAGATGCCCTGGCCCAGGAGGCTCTCACAATACAGGGGTCAGCTCAGTCTGCAGGCTGACAGGACTGCAACAGGAGGTTTAATCAGTTCACTCTGTTAATGCATGACATTTACCCAAAGATAACATTTAGTCCTTCCTAAGGGCAGACTAGTACAGCCATCACTTTACACTTATCTCCTAGGCAGAATCAGTGAGCAGCATGTTTAACTGAGACTAGGTTAAAAAGCAAACTATCAACGCAAGGGGCTACAGAGCCTTCACTTGATATTACTCCACCCCAGATCCACCAGTACAGCTCAAAATATCTATTTCTTTATAATAAACAATGGAGAGGGCTGGGGGAAGAGCTAGGACTACTACTAGTTACTGCTTGGATTTCCATGGGAAACCAGTACACACAACAGCCCTTTTTACTTCCACTGAAGAGATTTTGGCAACAGACATGAAGACGACAATTGCCGTTTGTCCTGCCTCTGCACAGGGCTCTCACAGTACATATGCAAATCTAGTCATCAAGTACAAAATAGCCAATTTACAATACCTGATTGAATTTTTAAGATTATATTGTGCATAAGACTAAAGTTGGGGGTAAGTTTCTCTAGTGCAAGCAGGCGTGAGTAGACTTGAACCTTAGATCACAGCCCCTAGAGTTTATCCTCAGACCCCAGGAGGACCTGTAAACTTTGTTTTGCCTTCACCGTCAACGGCATCTGTGAGTTCTGTTTAAACCGGCAGCACCCATGGCGAGTAGCTCACTGCAGAGAGGAGCACATTTACATCAGTGCAGAACACAAAACAAATCTGTGGCATTCAAAAGATGAGGAAATGGGGGTGGGGGTCCTCTGGGCTGCAGCCATCTTAATTGTCTAAACTGAAAGGTGAGTGAATGAAAGCCAGCTCTGTGTGCCCCTGTGTCAGCCTACATGTGCAGAGCAGCTGCAGAAGTGTTTATGCTAAAGATGTATCCAGCTATCTGGAAGTCAGTTACAGGAACGGCTCTGTGTAGAAATCCCAGTGTTTGCTAGCACACGACTGTTCTTCCAGCTGCACAGGAGCGTAGTGTAGAAACAGGAGGGATGTCGACTGGCCAGTAACCCTTCACCACAAGCATCCAGGACATCCCAAGCGCCAGGCACTGCTGCCAAGGGTAGTACCACAAGGGCACACAGGATTCCTGAGACAGATCCCAAAGCCTGTCAGGAGAAGTGAGAATTCAAGTGAAGTATCAGCTACTCAATGAGTTTGTTACATCTGAATGGGTCAGCTTAATTCAACGTCAGATGGCTCAGGATGGCCTCAGCTGGCAGCCGGAAGAGCCATTTGTTCAAACAACTCAAATCACTATTGTTTTATAATGAGGGGAGAGGAGAGGAGGGAAGAAAGAAAAAAAAAAAAAAAAAAAAGAGTATCGTTCATTCAGTTATAGTGGATGGGGCCCCAGAGGCTGGTGGAGACCTGGGAAGCCCTGACAGCTCCTGCAGCAGGAGATGCAGTGTTCTGTCCTCTAGTCTTCACTCCGAGTAATGCATGATCGACTCCACATAGTTCCCTGGGAAGAGCCCCGTCACTCCATTCATGACCCCCTCATACCAGCCGTCATCATTTTTCTTGATGACATAAATGATGGCACCTTCTTGAAACGAGAGCTCATCTTCTTTGTCCTTCGTGTAGTCATAGATCGCCACCACTAGGAAAGAACAGAGCATGACAGCATGACTGTTACGAGAGATACATGGAGGAGGAGGAAAATCAGCCTACCTCGAACAAAGTTCTCCACATTCAAGGCAATCTCAGAGAGCTGCACTGCCTCACCTCTACGGGTGCAGAATGACCTGCTGAGAGGGGCACTTTCTTCCAACCCCTTCTATAAGAGTTCATACTTTGAAGCATATGAGCCAGGACTACTTTAACTCGTCTATTCTTACTACTTCCAGACCCACTAGAGGAAAAGTTTACAAATACATGATAAACTTTTGTTGTGGAATGATACAAGAAGGTGGATGTAACTCCCCATGGCTATGACAACTCAGACCAACTCCAAGATTCATGTATTAGATGTATGTGCAAAACCAGGTCTCTGCACAAGTAACAGTCAGCAGAAAAACGTGGAAGAGGGAGAGTAGTAAGAGCTCTCTTCAGATCACAGTAAGAATGAGCCAAGGCTAATGCCCGAGACTTCCATCTACCTTAGCTACCTCCACATTTACATCTGTAAAATGCGTATGTGCAGTCCCAGTAGCTAAAGTCACTCTGAGGGTAATACGGCGCCAAGATGGGTGAATCCCAGTTAGAAGCTAGGAAGTAGTAAGGTGGTCCTCTGAAACAAAATGTATGCCTACTGTATCAGGACATTTTTCTTACAGCTGCAGAATATTTTACTGAAGGCACAAAAGCTGTTAGGAAAGTCAAAGAAATTGGACAAAGCACTGGCAAATATTAAAAGAGAGTATTGCCCTGAAATGGCAGAAGACAGACATCAAGTCAATATGTTTTTCCATTCTCAGTCCTATCGTTATGTGTTCCATATGGAAAATTAGCTATGCCGGACTCTGAATACTTTAACAAATAGCATCAGTCACTGCTTTGAGCACTTGGCAATGAAACATGCCGTGCTGCCATTGGAAACAAAATGGATGTTGGACAGGGATCCTAAAATCTTGTACTGGGGACAGAAGGGAAGATACTCTGAAACAAAGCAAGGAGAAAAAAAAAATATTAACAGCATGTGTTCATGAGCACAGTGTCCAAGAGTCCTATTAAACTCATCATTCTTTCCAAAAGAACAGAGGTCATTTCCTTTTGAGGGAGCAAAAGGATCAATACAAATATTTACTAGGGAAACCTGGATCCTGAAGAAATTATAAAGTAAAATATACAAATCAATCCCAGTGGGGAATCAGAGTATGTACAGAGAATTTTTTTTTTTTTTAAATAAATCTCCCAAACAGGAGATTTGTATCATTTGACCAGAGCATATTTAAAAAACCACATGTTGCTGGCTCTACACTTATACCAGCACAGTTGTTAAGTAACTCATTCTAACTAGTTTTAGACACATCATTCTAAGGAAACAAAACACATATGGAAAAATGAGTAAATTTTTAGCTTGAAAAACGGAAGTCACTATATGAACATGTGATACATTCAATTGAAGTCCTTCAAAATTCCTTTTTAACTGCCTTTAGTTAATTTTAAAACATTTCTTCCTAGATTCACTGAGCTGCCGTTCTTCATTCTCTTGATAATAATAATCCAAGGATCACAGTAACTTCCAATGTCTTTCTTTCTCATCTTTGAGTGTACTCTAGTCCCTTCTGACACTGAATGGATTATTTCATGATCACAAGTAGGAAACTCTTCCCTAAGTTTGTGATGAAAATTCGCTTCTTGTTAAACCTCTTATAAAATTACCTGAAGCCTGGTTTTGTTTTTACATCACCATTGCTTCCTCCTGCAGCTACTTTTGTACTGGCCATGTCCCTCTCCCTAAAAGACTGTTTAATCCTTCTCTCTGTAGTCCCACCAGTTCAAGCTGTGAGCTTCTCACATACCATGAGTTACCAGGAGCCCAGGCCAGTATTGCAAAAAAGGCTCCAGATGAGACAGGAAGCAGCAATACTGACTCAGGAGGTGGCATCCTTCCCTGCGAGACTGAGCCAGGACTTCTTTTAGTTTCTATCTGAACACGTTTCAATGCAGATATGAAAACCAGAATCACTCATTTAGGTTGATATTCTTCCAATCAGTGACCTTTGGTTCTTCAACAATTACACAGACTTTGGCAGAACTCCGTTATATGAAACTGACCACAAATGCAGACCAGACTGATTATCCAACTGAAATCCGATAGCTGTGACCACGCACTTTCTCTATGTGGTATGAGGGCAATTTTTCCTTCTAGATACCCATTTCTGTTCACCTGATTTGCAAAGCTGGGTCATTTTCTTACCTTTTCATGCCACGCACCCAGACACACAGCTCAACGGAAAACTGCAGTGCGCCTTCCTGGACATTGCTGGTTGGCTGTTGCTATTACAGCCATGTGGTAGCACCCTCAAGTTTGAACATCCCGAGTAACTGTATCCTGCCTAAGAGTTTCTCCATCTGTTCAAAATGCTGTTCACTTCATTCCTCAGCTGTAGGTTAGAGCATGTCGTAATGTTAAATGTACCTCCCACACTGCATGACCCCTTTACAGAACAGGATCATACTGAATCCCATCTCAATATATAGCAACCCTCTGTATTTGACACCTCCTTCCGTCAGTTTTGTCTGCTTTGAATCATGTGGCACAGAATACTATTTATGGGAACTTAAGGAGTTGCCATAGGAATAATTATTTTGCAGAAGATAGAGCATTATTAGTTCACAGCAGGTTAAGTATACACATTCTTTGAGTATGAAAGTCCTCTTTTAGCATGGGGCTTTTCATTAACTTCAAAGCTCGTTTGCTACAAAAAAAAAAAAAAAAAAAAAAAACCAAATCGCAGCCAAGCCCTTCTCTCCCAACTCCAGCAAAGCAGTCAAATCTCAAGACATGGGCTGAATGTAAGTAGAGCTATTCATATAACTACAACAGAATCCACACCTATGTGAATCTCATTTTTTCTGGTATCCTAAAATTACTATTTAACAGTTCTTTATACATTGTAAGCACTTTAATTTTATTACTTTTATGAGTGTTTCTAAGAACAGACCAACCTTTTAGATGTTTTAGTCATCTAGTTTTCAAAATACAGATCAAAATTATGGTTTTGCATGGGACCCTACATCAATACAGGAGAATGTCTAGTCTCCTATACTTTTGCTTTTCTGTAGGAAAAACATTCTGACTAAAAACCTGACTTTCTCCAGCCTTTAAAAGACTCCCATTACAGTTTTGCTATCCCATGTGATTTTCCCTGTAAATATCAAAATAGAAGTGCCTGGAATGCCTGCTGAGATGGAATAGATCTGTGCATACATGCACCTATATAAATTATTTTAGTTCACAAGCTCATGGAAGTCACACAGAAAAGCAGATCAGAACAATATGCTATAATTCAAATGTCATTATTTCTTCAAATAGACAGTTGTTTTCCCAGGCCACGTGCCACATGATTTTGTGACTTCTCTTCCACACACCCCCCCCCCCACCCCCCACCGTTTGCATTAGTATGAGACACTATAAACAGGCAATGCACATCAGCATCCTCTTTTTTTCTCTTTTGCTCCTAGCTGAAATGCCCCTGAGGATTTGCTGAGGGCCAGGTGGCAGGAGTAACAGAAACATAACAAAGATAGTGATACGAATGTAGAATGAGGCTAAAGAGTGTCTTATGCCTGGAAAAATACAGAGAAAAATCTTGAGACTCTCTCCCCTATCAAAAAGTAACATGCCTGCAATCTTCATCCAGCACAAAATACATCAGCCACAATGAAACTGAGCAGATACTGTGCATTCTCAGAACTGCCTGATATGGAGGAGTTCATAAAGTAATGCAGCACATCCAGTATTTGCTGAAATGATCTGTAGTGGTCCGAACCTGAAGAAATTTGCCATCCTCCCCCAAAGAAAGAAATGCAACATCAGGAACCCCACCCCACTCTAAAACCTGATTTTTGTGAAGCCAGGTAACTAATATCAATAACCAGGAATACCCTCCAAACTGCACAGCAAGAAGAGTACTTTGTATATGAGATCCCTTTTTTCCCTGTCCTTGCTCATGGAAATAAGCTTCCCTAACAAGAATAAGCTGAAGCAACTTTTAATCAAACAAAGAGCCTGCACGCCTCAACAGAATAATCGTGACGCTTGCTGTCAATCAGGGGTATGGGGAGTCAATAGATAAAGTCAGTCATGTAAACACCCTGCAAGTCAGCCACTTTGTCTGACAAACGGTCTCAGCTTGTCAGCAAAGCCTGGGTACTCCTTGCACTAAACACTTACACCAGCTAGAAGGAGGGTGGGGGAATAACAAAAACACTCCCACATATTCCTCAGGAATAGTAATATTTTCTCTGGGCTGGAGTTGGCAGAAAGAGCCTCTTCCATCTTCTCCCCCGACCGCCACGTCCTGCACTGGGTATATCTTTTTGGCGTTCTTGAATTTTTTCCCCGATGCAGACTAAATGTGTCTAACAGTCACTCAGCTGAGATGCCTGGTTGCTTTGCAACATTAGATTTTATATCACCCTTTACTAAGAGGTATGTGACCCTGTTTCACAGGAGAACACCAGGCAGTAGATCTTTTCATATTCAAGTGCCCCTAAGCCCTTTACCTACTCAGTTTATTTTACCTGTAGTTTTACTCCAGCATGCTTCCACACACCTGCTTCAGAACTGGAAGACATCTAGATGCAGCCACGCAGCAATGCCACAGTTACTCAGTCCTACACAGACCCAGCACTTTTTAGCTCAGCACAGCCCCACACTGATGCAGCACTGCAGCTTCCAGAGCCCCAAACACACATTGCAGCACCTCTCCAGAAGCACCCATATGTTCAAAGTTCAAGTGCAATTGCAGCACTGATTCGTTCATTTTTGACCTCAATACGAGTTTGATTATTAGGATCAAGCAGACTACTGAAAGCTGAGTCTTAAGTAGATTACAGAGGACCTAAAAAATATGTAATTAGCCATCTAATCATTATCTTTCCTTTGGGGAGAAAGGAGTGAAAGAGTCAGACGCAGAAGAGTAGCTTAACTTTTGTTCTTTAAGTTGCCATTTGGAGGAGCACCTCTACCACAATACCAAATACTGGCTACAAAGGAGTCTAGGCAGACTCCACGTCCAAAGCAGGATGGCAGGAGCTTATACAAAACGTTGTTACAAACATGACCCTACCATCTCTACTAGCTCTAAACCTACCCTTTTCTAAGTAGGTCCTTGGTGCCCAAGGAGGGTCCTCCTCAGCATATGGATCGCTGTACTCCACCACAGCTGCTTCCTCCTCCTCATAATCCTCTGGAGGTGGGGGTGGAGGTGGAGATTCATCCAACACTGGCTCATCCACAGGCGGTGGCGGGGGAGGAGTATCTGAAACTAAAAATAAGCAATAGTATAACCATGAAAATGTCTCTAGAACCATGGTAGCAGGTTGAAGTAATACTCCCTATCCCAGTTAGTTGCACTGGGACCAATAGTTAGAACTTGTGGAAATACACTAGAGACAATAAAATTCAGAGAAGGAAGGATCAGGTTCCTCCAATAAAATTATTTCCTTTTCCCTCTCTTCACAATTGAAGACAAACTTGCAGAGGCAGTAGAGACGGCAGTATTCTGGCTATATACAGACAAATCCTTCATCCACTCAAAACAAAAGCCACATCCAGTAATAAATCATAGCACAAGGAAGCAGCAAACTTACTGTTTTCTTGAACTCTGGCCACAAATCCCATTAGTGGTAACTGTGGAGTTACCTGTAGGATGGAGGGGGGAGGAGGAGCAAGGGATGCTGCCACAGAAATTAAAAAGAGAGAGGCATTCAGTTAGAAACACAACAAAGCAGCAAACAGAAAAGTAGACATCATCACCACTCAGACAGTGTAGCAGTCTGCCAAAAAGCTGAGATTAAAAGGCTGCCATTCAAAGAAAAATGTCTCAGGTGGTTTAAGCATATTCCTAATCTTTACTTCAAGGAGATTTCTCTATTTTTAAAATTTCCAACCCAGCTCTTTTTCATAAGATTAAGAATCCATACTGAAGTATTTTTCTGATCTGACCATGAGATTCCTTAACTTGAAGTTTATTACTACAATATAGCACTTTATGAACAGACCCCACTAACAAACATATGAATAACATATTCTCTCCCTATAATCCTCCACCTTTCAGATCAAATTTATAATTGTAGAGGTGACTTCTGTAACAGCATCCACAAATCCTTAGTAATGACAATGGATATAACTAGTTTTCTCCAAAACGTAGCCAAAAAAACCCCATCAAATGAGGCAGTTATTTCAGGCGAAACAGAAAAAGACGCCTTTGAGAACCGAGTGTACTTGGACGACACAGGACTTCTGACCTTACTGGTAGAACAAAGCGCACTGTGCTGCTGCCAAACAACAGGGCCTATTCCAGATGTGCTGCCTCGTTTCCTTCCCACCTGATTTTGCAGACCAATGCACTGAACTCTGAACAGCCCTTTTACTGGTACCAGAAGAGCTGTCTCTGTACGATAGGTGTGAATTCACATTTAAAGAATATACTATCAGCCAGTTGCAAATGTTGTAACACTGAACTGTGGTTGAAGCCAGGAATGAAAGTTATCTAGTTAAGTAAAAAAAATAGTTGACTAGTTTTATCTAGTTTTAGTATCACTTTGCAAGAGTAATGCAGTAATATTCTTTAAGCAAGTTACAAGATCCTTTTTCAGAAACCACACCTCAAGAAAAGCACAACAAAATAATTTTGTTAGTAGTCACATACAAAAACGTTTAGTCATGTCCAAAAGAATGAGGGAAAAAGGTCTATACTTCATGTACCAGTACATTTATTTAGCTTGCAGAACAGAACTAAATAAATTTCAAACTAATTCCAGAGCCGGTAAGAAAACTGCCAGGTATGATGTAGTATTTTTCAGAATTAATTCATATCATCATAGCAAATGAAAAGGACTCCAGGGCATTTAAAATTCATGTCTCAAATTTTCTTCTGTTTGCTTATTTCAGTAACTATTATCTGAAGTTCTTTGAATTTCTTCTGTCATTCACATGCACATTCCTTTCACAACCACACACCCCAAACAAAAAAAAACAACAGAGCAACCATCCTTCTTGTTGCAAAAATATCCTTGTACTTCCATATAGAGCAAGCTCTATTCTCTCAACATTTAATTGGTATTTCGTGACAAAAAACAAAGTATGTTTCTAATTACAGCTCCTTTGACCTCTGAGAATATTTATTCCTTCAAGTGTAACCACAGTAGCTAGAAAAAGATTTGGTCTTGCATTTTTTCAAAGCAGGAAAAGGGAACTTGAATTTGAAGTCCTACTGAAATGCAGTAATATTCATGAATTCAGCATTCTTGTGCAACTACGAAGTCCCTGCCTTTTTAATTAATATATGCTATAAAAATGTTCAGTTTCAAAATGTTTCCTCTATTCAACATCATATGGATTCATACAACTCATATCCATCACATGAGACTAGCTTCAGTTTCCTAAGTCCCTTCAGTGTACTTTGTTTGTGTGCTATATATATTTCTTTGAAAGAAATAATGCGGCTTTCCTCGTAGAAAAATAAATCACTCTAGACCAGCACTCCAAGCAAATACAAAAAGAAATCCCTTAGTTTAGTTTGGCTTGTGTAGTTTAATCAAAATGGTGATGCTAACACTAGCTGACATCATTCCTTGTTCATCTTAACCATTTGGTTTGTGCTTCAGTCTATGCACAGCGCAGGGACTATCACGTTATATTGGCTCTATACGATATATAATGAGGCTAAGCTAGTTTTGACCTTTAGGAGCCAATACAATAAATATTTTATTAATAATGACTTTGTTTATAAAGTGCATCAGAAGAACTTTACTGTACCTCTGCTGTCTCAAAAGATGAGATAAACACCAGCTTAAACGTTCCCTCCCAGCTTCCTTCCATATAGACCATTGGTAGATTAAGAGTTCATCTACACAGTTGCTGTAAATTAATTCAGAAATACTCAAGAGCACCTTCCACTAGATAGCTTCAGCCTGATAAGAATTCAGCTATATAAATAGTGTGTAGTGCAGACCACCATCTCAGTACTTGCCCAGTTTCTCCCACAGGGTTTTTATCCTGTGCTGAGCTCTATACTGCTTAGATACTGGTATCTAAGGTTGCAAAGTCAAAACGCTTGTTAGGTGGCACGGCTGGCAAGAGTGGCTTTGGGACAGACGTATGCTGAGATCATTTAGAGTCTGCATTTCTTAATATTTTCTTTTCAGTTGTTAAAAAGGCCTCACCATGAAGTAGAGAAATTATATTATCTTAGAAGTGGCATTCAAAAGAACAGGGCAAGGCAACTATCTTTCATCCTCCCAAGAAGTGAATAAACAGAAATGACTATGCCAACATACTAAAAAATGGAAGTGGAAAAAACAGTACTGCTTTATTGCCAAACAGCCTGCGAAGAAGAACAAGCCATAGTTGGCATGCTCCTCTGTCTGTTGTAAGGTCTCTTTTTCACCTCTGTAAGGTCTCTTTTTCACCTCTTTAGTTTGCGTTTTCTCCCTCTCTTCAGGAATGCGGAGAACCATTTGTGGCCCCTGTCCTGTCACTACTAACCCTGCCCCTTACAGACACAACAGTCCCTCTGTTCTTAGGGTCTTCATCAATTATACATGCTTGGGCATCCTCTCTTTTCAAGGTACAGGCCAAAAAAACTTGATTTAGTGTAACTGCAAAGCTATTTAGTATAATATAAAATTCTGTATTCTGCTAGGTATATAAAAATGTCTTACTACAACTGCTTATTTATATTGTATCAAGTATGCCAGTATAATTGAAGTATTTTGTTTGTGATTTACAGCTCAAGTGACTAATCGCCATAATCATTATCTTCTTTTCAAGGTACAGAGACTGAACTGTGGTTATGTAACTTATTTAAAGTCTATTTGGCATCTTCTGTGATTACCTATTAACAATGCAATGGTAGCTTGCAGAAAATTATCCCTTTGCTAAAGCAGAAATACACAGCAGTTGTCAGAAACTCTCTGGATATACTGAAAATCCTCTTTACTGCAAAGGTAATCCTGAAGGGTTTCTTTTATTGCTGATACCCTCTCCTTCTCGCCTGTTCTGCTTCAGCCTTCAATATGAACATAATGTGCTTAACAAACACCTCATATTTCAGGCAACTGGGCTGCAATTTAGTCATATAACCTCCTCCTCCCTCCTGGCCCCAGCAGGACCATCCATTTCCTTCAAGTTAAGCACACACATCTCTCTGCAGAGCAGCTCACAAGCAGTAATATTTGAACCTGATCAAATCCCTTAAATGCAGATTGCAGCATTTGATCTAATTCCAAGTTCAGTGCTCAATTTAAAAAAACAAAACAAAACAAAACACAACAAAACCAAAACCAAACCCAAAACCCACCACCACCACCACAACAAAACACAAATGCACTGCAGTGCTTGCAAGTCAACATTCAGCGTTGCTGGTAATAGGGCATTTCCTAACAAGGAACCTCCAGTATGCCTCCTGCATCTTTCTGTAGCTTTGTCAAAAAAGAAAGTCTCCCCTACTCTGGTAGCAAAACCTCCACCTCACATCAGAAGCACAGGGAAAAGGACTCCTTCAATGAAAAGCTACTGCGTTCTGCCTGACATGCAAGACACGCCACTCCTTGTTAATATCCCATCCTCCTTTTTAAGACAGGTTGCCCATCAAAATAACATCACCTGTGGACTTAGCAGATGACACAGTTCCCTTGCATCCCATACCAAACACCACTGTTGTCTCTAAGGTGTCTAATGCTTACCCTTGTATAACAAGTACAATTTCTTGAACTGTCCATTAATCAGAAGGAAAAACCATACAAGATAAAGACTGATTAATGAAGAATCAGTGTTCTGGTGCAAAAGCAAATACCCATCACACACCAAAGCAGATACATGACACATGGTGTAGTAAAGGACTAAAGCTTGTCTAATAGGGACTGTGAGATCAAAAGTAATTTATTTGGCAACAAAGCCAGTATTGTTTTAAGCTGCTTGCCATAATGGAAGCTGAATGCTCTGTACTTGGACCGCAGCTTTGGCATGGCTACCAGCAACATACTGAAAGTTACCTGAGACTAACTGCAAGATCTGCAATGGAGACAGAACGTAAGATTTCAGAGATCTGGAGGCCACTCCATTCACCACTGGGTTGAATTCAACAGAGCAGAAAAACTTTCTTACCTGGGTTCTGGTTATAAAACGGTCCTCCGTTCATCTGGTTCTGAAGGCTTGGCTGTGATGTGATCGAAGGAGGACGCCGATATGGCAAAGATCCCCCTATTGTTGGGGGGGTGTGTCGAGATGCAGGCCTATTCATGCTGTAGAACTGAACTGGGTGACCTAGGTTAGAAAGAGAAATGTATTAGCAAAGAGAAGAACAATGCCTGCCTTTTTTATATCTGCATTCAAGATTCAAAGGCTTAGAAAAGTTTTTGTTTTTTTCAAGATAGTCTGCATCCTGGGAGCAGTCAGCCAGTTCAGCTGCCAGAGTGGAAGGACACTGGATGTCTCAACAGCAACACAAAAAACAACTCTCCCAACTGCCTGTACCCAGCACTGCTCACAAAGGCCAGTATGAAAATACAAAGGTGTCTAAGCTATGAAGTTTCAAAACGAAAGAAAATAATTCCCAGTTATCCATTTTATATAATGTATTATAATAACTTCTTGCAAATTTAGTTACTTACAAACCTGCAAAAAAATAACACTTCACAGTCCAGCAATTAAGCAACATACACATACAAACTAACTCTGTGCCATTCCCAAGATTCAAAGCTGTTAACTTGTACAACTGAAAAACACAGTACTAACTATCTTAGTGCTGTATAGGAAATATGCAGAAAATCATCTGGGGAGAAGAGAATGTTAGCAACTGCTTGAAGGATGGAATAAATGAAATGATGCTCAAAGACCCTCTTTCAGGGAGCTGCCAATTGAAACTACTCCTTAAAAACTTGCTCTCCATTTTAATCACTTCCTGTATCAAAGTAAATGATCCTGAATCTAAGCAAGCAATAAATGAAGCAAGACCATTAAGCTATCTTCTGTGCTCACAGAAAGTTCTCTGCCTTATATACTGTATATAACAGTAAACTGGATTTGTTATACCCATATATAGGTTATTACCCTCCCTAACTATTCTGCCCCCAGCATTTGTACTAGAGGTAAATTTCAGAGTTTTCAAGAAAATCAGGGAAGAAGGGATGGCCACTGTGGCTGAGGAGACATGCATGCAGGGAAGTAAACAGGGAAACAGAACAAACGAATGTGCACTTTTTTAAAAACCTGCATTGTTCTCCACTATGTTTTGATTGCTTTGCAAAACTTCACACTACGTCAGTAAATAAAATGCAAGTTGCTTGCTGTGTTACTTGCTTCTAAGAGCAAATGCATGAACTAGAGATTCAAATTCCTCCTGCTTTGTACAGGTAGGTACATCTCAAAAAATGCACTTTTTACAGATGAGGAAGAACAACAGGTAAGAAGTAATCCACCTAGTATATAGGCCTTTTCACATTTTTCCTAACGTGTCTTTCCAATATGCCTGTATCCCTGTTACTTGATGCACTGGTAGAAATCGGTGGTGATTGGAGAGCAGGGAGGAGAGAAGAAACAGGTAAGAGATCCTTAATTACCAAAAACTACACCTTCATAAACAGTAAACTATCCAGTCTCTTCAAATACTTTATTTCAGAGAAGCCATGCAAGCAACCTCACTAATACCACAGGGAAACAAAAGATCTTAAAAATAGTAAGTAACCTGAAATCTCTTATGGAATTGTGAGTATGATTTTATAGCCATTAAAATATTAATCTCTGCTTGATTTTGACTTGTCAAAAACACAGAAGCAATATGGCTTAAGAACTGGGATACTGACAGTGCACCAAAAATGTAAAACTGACTGAGGCCCCATATGACACCGCTCATCTTCTAAACATGAAAGTAGTTTAGACATCAGGATCATCTTCTGATACCAAAATTCATCACAGTTCAGAAGCTTCTAGTCATAGTAATGGATTTTAGTGTAAGTATTTTCTAATTCTGTATGAACCACAGCACCTTATACTAAATACGATTTCAAGAACACTTCTGGCACCTGGTGAAATTCTTACTAAGAGACCAACACTAATAAACACACAGACCAATTCATACCATTGTGATCAGCCTCCACTATAATGAAAAGTAACAAAGCACGTAGGTAGCTATATATGAATTTGGTTGTCTAAAGGAGATCTTTACAATGCAGGTGTAACTCCTCATCAAAAGCTGATACGGTTAGTAAGTACTATATGCTGCAACTTCATTGTATGAAAAAACCAAAAAACGTAGGGTGATTTCATAAGCATTAAGAAAAGCAAGTTGCAATATACACCATAAGTACCACCTATTAAACCAAAATCCGTTAGTACTATTCTGCATAATAAAAACTTGTATTTTACCTGGCATTGAACACAAAAAGATGCCCTTTTTATCAGTTCATTGAAAGGAGACTTGTCATTTGAAAGCATTGAAGAGACAAGTCATATAAATTATACTTTGCTAGATGCACTTTTTTTATTCCATTACTGAAAGAGAATAATCAGACCCAGCACTATCAGTGCTGGTTGCCCCCCAAACATAATTATTCTATGAGATCCTCAGTATTCAAACCGCAATAAAATGATAATGTAATAAATAATTATATAAATGTAAAAATAATAAAATGATAAAATTAAATGATTGCTGTTTATAAAACTAGCACACCTTGAATTGTCTGCTATGATCATTACCTTATAGTTGGGTATTAGCAAATATTTTCCAGTTATATTAAAAAAAAAAAATAAAAAATCACTGCTTCTTAAGTAACTTTGAAAAGCCTGGGATCGTGATCACATCTGGGTTCATCTGCCCACCGGCTGGAGCAGACACTCACCTGTAGAGGGTGTAGAAGAAACAGCAGGGGGAGTTGGAGAGGTGAAGCCATCAGCAAGGGGTTGAGCTCCTGCAGCAGCAGCAGCAGCATCTGGGGCAGCGGAGGAAGGGGCAGGAGCAGGAGGAGTAGGGGCAGGAGCAGAGGTAGCAGGAAGGGGAGAAGTGCCAGCTGAGCCAGCAGGGGCTAAGTGAAGAGAGGAGGAAGAGGCGGAGTTAATAAGGAGATATGTTAGCAAGAAAAAAAAAAAAAGAAAGCCTTTTACTATTCAGTGTTAGCTATTTATTAGATGCACAGTATTTTAGAATGCGTGAAGAGATGAGAGAAAAACAGAGCTGTTAAAGAAAGGTTCATTCCTATGTGGACAGTAAATGAGGGTCAAGAAAATCCACTTCTTTCCATGTCTGAAGAGAACCCAGAACTTTTCACTGAAAGCCATTACTTTTGAAAGATGTCTTTACACCTTGTTATTTACGCTTCGAACTGTTGCATGGCTGCCTTTAGCTTTTGTACGAATTAGAAAATATACAGAAGAGGAAAGCCAAAGATTTCCAGCTCTTTGGTTCAGAAGCATCATGCATTTCAGATCACACTGCAAGCCAACTATACACTCTTCTTCACTGAAAGGGCTGAGCAAAGGAAAAAGGAGTACTAATATCACTTCCTATTTCTGGAAAGACTGGGGCGATTAAATTGAACAAGTTTCTTTTTGTGACAACTCAGCTAGGCTTGCATTAATGTACTAAAGGCTTATCCTGTGCCTGCCTCTCATTTCATCTAACTTTCTAAAAGCATGCTTCTATATATCTGCCTGAACAGCCAATGAAAAAAAACATTTATTTGCTTAAAAGGACAAGGGAGAAGTTTCCCCCAGCCCATTGAAAAAGGCATTGTGTTATACCTAGTCACATGCAGGCAGCCAGGCAAAAAATTCTGATAAACAAATTAATATATAAAAGAAGCATTAGAGCACATCAGACACTCCCACAAAAGACACTACCTGATTCAAATTCATACTATCAATAGCAAGCAATTTTCAAGGCTTGCATGTTTCTGGATAATGAACTTTGAGACTTCTCTTGGCGTTTACTCAGCACTGTGTTTAGGAGGCTTGCAAATGCTAAAGGTTAATGCTGAGTCAGAAAGAGAAACCGCAAGTTTCCATTTACCTGGATAGACACTGGGAGGAGATGGTGTGGGAACAGCAATAGGAACACCCACACTTCCACTTCCACTGTTCTCTCGACTGCTGCTCCGACTACTTGGGTGGCTTCCTCCACTACTCCCACTGCTGCTGTAAGAAACCAAAATAACCCAGGGTATGAATTTGCTGCTGTGCATGCTGAAACATAAGATCCCTTATATAGCACCTTATTAATTCAAAGAAGTAACACGGAACAAGAGAAAAGAAACAAGGATGATATAAACCTATAGAAAGCTTAGTTTTTCTAAAACTCTTCACTTTGACCACAAAACAGGTTTTTCAGTTAGTCTTAGTGAACATGCCCAAAAATGAAACACTTCCAGAACCTTGTTCCAAAGCACATCATTCCAATATTGCTAAACCCCTACTGAGCAAATGCAGACCTTTTTCCTATAACTTACAACATGCATAGACTGTTTAGACTCTGATTTATATGCTTTCATAGGGGACTACTGAAATTTGGAAATTGTAAATAGTAAAAATCAGATTTTCTTATATTTTTAAGTGCATCTGTTTAGCCATCTTCAAGTACTTATGATGTTTAAAAAGAAAGATTTCAAGGGAAGTATTTAGACCTGTCACATTATGAAACACTTATTATCCTAGAGAAAAGGCTAGCCTTCTGCCAAACCTTTGGTAATACAGTTCAGCTTTATTCTGTTTGAAGTTATCAGTATCCTCAAAATACAATGCTCCTTTTCAGCTACTCAATCTATAAATATCAAAGACTGCTCAAACAAAAACGTGAACTATAAGCATACTATGCAGTCCTTCAACATGTAGAAGTCAACTGGTGTACAAAGTCTTCTCCCAGTTTTGTAAGCATTTCATATAATAATATCATGATGTACCTACCTGAAATGCTTCACAATTTTAGTAATTCATTAAGTACTATAACTAAGTGATAGCACTAAAATTAAGGTGACTAGGGGATTAAGTGAACAATCTTAACGTGATCCACTGTTCTGGTTTTATTAGAGTGCATTCTTGTCATGCCAAATGACGTTAGCAGTCCATATCATGAATTCACTGATGGATCTGATATTCATTGTAGCATTTTTTGTCCATATGCTTATACAATACTAACCAAACTTTGTACAGAACTACACTGGATACCTGTACGTGCGATTCCTCTGATTCACAGAAGCTGTTCTAACAGGGCTCTGTTGCGAGGGAGCCATATTGCGTGTTGGGCTAGGCACATAGTCATTTGGTACCACCGGAGGACGTACTGGCTCCAACGTACGATAGGGAGAGTGACGCCTACACAAGGACAAGCATATTTCAGAAGCAAATCAAGACAATAGAGACAAAACCAAAGATTTTTCATTCTTTAAAAGAGAGCTACATACTAATCAGTAATGTTTTTCTATAAGTTTGCAGTTATCTATTTTGTAGGATAAGAAAAAACAATTAAGGATGTTCTTCATGTACTTCAGTCTCCAGATGAAGATATTTTTTCTATTTCCTATTCATAAACTCTGTGTTGCACATCCCATTCTTGTTTTTAAAGTAATCCATATCTTGTTTTAAAATAAAGCACCACGGTCTGTATGTATACACACAATCACAAACCAACAAACAGCGTTCATCTCAGTTGTAACACATTTTCCTACGGTCAAAGTCAAGTTCATAGACTTAATAGGAAAGTACTTTTATCACACACAGCACAAATAATTAATGAACAGTGCCACATACTAATTTTCCAGTTGTTTAGCACCACCTGTCAAAGCCACACAGTTAATGACTTTTTACTCTAAAGCATGTAGAAAGTGATCTGCAATGATAAAAAGGTTCCTGTTGGGAAAGGCTGATGATGCCCACCATCTTCTGGCAGAAACGTGCTAACTGATATATAAGACATGATCAGTAGAAGGGGATGCGGATATAACACCTCTTGACCTTTGTGAATGGTTAAAACGGGAAGAAAAAAAAAAAAAGCCCCCACTACAGAAAAAGAAAGTATCTTCCCTTTTTTCCCTTCTGTTCACCAAAGCCATTTACACATTTGGTAACTGCACTTACCCAATAGTTCCTTTTCCCGACATTGGTGGACTTGGTGGCTTCTGGGTGGGTGGTGTTGTACGAGGCAGCCCACCCATCTTCATATTCTGTGTGCTGACCTGCATGAAAGAACGGGGAGAAAAATGGCCTTCACTAAGCTCAGCTTCTAGGGGGAGAGACACTGAGATGCCTTTAGCAATTAACTCTAAGTAGGGGAAGGTTTAAACAAACAAAAAAATTGAGAGGCCATGCATTTTATATGCAATTTCCACTCTGCTAGAAGTCAAGAGTTGTGCTCAAAGGACTCTTTATTACACAGGGTTTTTAAAAATTGTATATACAAAAAGTGAATTTGCCTTTAGGCTATCACATAAACATTAAATCACTGACAATACAGACACTGTATCTAACTTGGTTAAACCTCCCAGTCATCTTTTGAGATAAAGGCAGTTGCTTCAGGTTGCACTACTGAATGGTAAATTTGCAAAAATATTTTCTAATACTCTTTAAAAATACTAAGGTTTATCTAATAGGCCACAATGTAATTCATACAAATACAGAGAAGTCAAAGTAATCTCCAAATATGATCCATTAATGTTTTGATGTTTTCACAGTATGACATCAAAATTTTTTAAGATAATATTTATTGTAGATATTATTTATGTGTATGTAAACATAGAGAGAAAGCTATATGGAAAAAAATAGAAAGAGGCACTTTTTTTCCCCACCAAATCTGTAGCAATTTAATATCTAAGAATCGATAAATAAATGGATGGGGAGAAAAATATTTAGCAGTGATGTGATATGATGTAATTGCGGTTGTCCCCTCCCCCTCTTTCAGGTTAAAATAATCATGAAGTAACTTTTATATAAAAGAATTTACTCTAACTTCTTTAAAACACTCATCTGCATTCTTGACCAATTCATCAATCTAGGAATCATAAACAATTGTTACCAATGCGGGCATTTTGCTTATCTGTATACTGCCAGCCAAGCATAATTCTCTCAATGCATGCACCCTTACAGCAATCGGCACATGGTCGTCTTACAAGTCTCTGTTAAACAGTTTGGGTTTATGAATGCTCAAACTATTCCTTAGACCCAGAGATATTCAACAAACCTAAATAAGTACGCTTACATCCCTTTTTTCTGTTGCTCCTGTCATGCTCTATTTCACAGTGCTTCTTATTTCCAAAGCATAAGTCTTGCCTATTGCCCACACCTCCCATATAAAAAGGCACAGTGATCAAGGCATTAGAAGTATTTGCAAACATCATTAAAAGCAAATTACTCCTTTAAAATTTGAGTCTAACAACTCGCTTAAAACCCTGGCAATGTTTAGATTTGTGAATTGATAAATATTGAGAACAGTGTGAAGAGTAATATATTCAGTATTTTAATCCACTGAAACTTGATTCCCTGGCGCTAAATAATCCCAGTGCTACCACATTTTCAATCTGCTGGGAGGAAAAGAAAACCAAGTGTTGGAAGGGTTTTTTTTGTCAGATTCAAAAACAGATGTTTGGATTTAGTTGTGCAAGAGTACTTTGTAATGTCAATTTAAGACAAAATTGTTTTGCACAGCATTATGAAGTCCTTTAAGCCAACTCTAAGCAACAAGAAATCTAAAGCTAATTTAAGTGAGGGATGACGTAAGCACTGAACTACAACTACTTGAAGGGAAGAGGGAAAGTGTAAAATGAAGTATATTTTATTCTATACACGGAACATTAAGAAATAGCACAAAATCTGAATTTTTTTTTAAAGTTGCAGCACCTCCTGTATTTCCTCTTTCATTAACGATGCCTGTTTTACCCACTATTTGAGTTGTCAAAAAAACCAAACAAAAGCCCCCCACCTTAATTAAACACTCGGTGCATTGTCACTTGCTATATTTCAAACAGCCCATTAAGCCTAGTGGGGCAGCGGTTCTGGATGTCTTCAGATGACAGCAAACTTGGACCAATATGTGTGCCCCTGAATAGTCCATTCAGGTGTTTTAACTGGCTACACTATTGTTTCTGACCAGATGATGTAACCACTAGCTATCACTGTACAGTTAACATAAAATTCCATATATTTAACCATAAAGAATCTTATTATTCATATACACTCATCGCAGGAACAAAAATGAAGTTTTAGGCTTCCACTGAGCTAGAGTTACATGAAAAGAAAGGACAGCAGAGGTGGAAGATGCGGTGACATCACACAGTATACAGTAAGATGTGGAAGTAATACTTGCCTGACTAACGCAGAACTCCAGTGACTGCTAGCCACTTTCATTAACACTGCCAATAAACATATCCTTGACACAGGATGGGAAGAAAGCTTTAGAAAATGTGCCCAAAGAAAAAGTGATCCTTTTTTAGCTAAGAAACTTTAGTCACAAAGAAGCCATTCTTAAGAACAACTAAACTGAAAGATGGGGAAATGCACTGACAGTAAGCTTTGTTTCAGGCTCTTTGAAATGACTTTTCAACATTGAAATCGAAATGTTGAAAGAGCAAGTAATTGAAGTTTACAGGGCTGTCTTCAAATCTGACAGGATGGATGGCTTTAAGATTAGCTACCGTAAGTTAAACAACCCTATCTGAATAACTTCCCCTTTGACTTATGGCCAAATAATCACAGAAGAGAAATGAAGAATATAAAATGATTCCAACAGTTCTGATCAAAATAGACAAATCTGTGGAAATAATATCATGCAAGACACTAAAAAAGATTACGGACTGCCTTGAGGAATAAAAAAAAAAAGACGACAATTTAAAACTATACAACTTGCAACTTCAGTTGAGATACAAACATTGTAACATTTCCAACTGTTCCCTTCAATGATGACTTCTACTATGAAAAAAAAAAAATTAAAAAAAAAGGAAAGCCATTAATGCCCCACCTCTTGCAAAACTTTATTGCACTTTCCATTTTGCACATATGGTTATAAAGATAGTTTCCATACACAAATCCTCATCCACACACATCCCTCTTACAAACTTCTAAAATCTGAAGCAACCACTAGAAGTCAAGGTCATATTTGCATCTGCTGTCAAGTTTCAAAAATCCGTTTTCTGGAGTAAGTTGGAATTTGCCAGAAGTTGCACTGTTTCTGACAACATTTCTGCTAACTCTGCACAGCTGGAACTATCCAGATGCAACTGGTTTAATTAGAGGGTGAAAGCAGAGGAATGCATCTGTCGGTGGTTTGTTTGACTGCAGTACCCCACAGATCTGTGGTTGGTTTGTAGTTAAGAGCTTGCAAATTCTTTTAGGAATCTGTGTGGCAAAACAGAGCCTGCAACCAGAAACACAAAGGAGTATCTCTGCCTTTGCTCACAACTGCCAAAACAGCTAACCGCTGTGCTAAAAAAAGAAAAAGATTAAGAGAGGCAGTAATGATTTGGGCACAAAGCTCAGGGGAAAAAAAAGAAAAAAAAACAAAAACAAAACAGCTGAGTGTTCTAAAAGCAGGAAGGCAACCGTGTGAGCAGACAAGCAATGCGCAGGGTCTACACAGAATGCGCGCAAGGATTTTTCCAATTCTTTTTTTGCGTCTTCTCACCAAAGCAAAAGAGTAGAAAATATTACCAACTGAAATTACATGGAAGAACACCAAATAATTCTAGGGAGAGCTTGGATAAGCTTTTTTTTTTTCCCCCCACTGGATACCTTGCAGAAGCTTTTTATACGTCAATTAGCAAGCACCTGCACTACAGAACAAAATGTCTTCTACCAAAGCTGTATCTCTGTCAGCACTGGAGCTGGAAGTGGAAGTTTTGCTGAGGGAGAAACTGCACATACAACTTAAAATAAGCGGGTCCTTGGTAAGTAACACATCCTGGAGAATGCTCTGAGATCCAACTCCACAGCAACAGGCGCAAAATGAACTGTAAAGAAATGGTCCACTACAGACCACTCTGTTTAAAAAGCGTACAACATACTTCATCCAATATTTTCAATATTGAGCTACAGTGTCAGTTTTAGAAAGTCTGATGACTTCAAGACATGATATGGGACTGACTAGAGCCCTTAGAAAAATATAATTTTAAGTTTAATTTTTTTAATAATTAAGACTTATTTGATTATATCATCTTCTTATGGTCCTGCATATGACTGAGTTTCCTTCATAGTTACATTTTTATAAACATTTAACATATTGAGCTTCTTTAGCACTCCACTGTATAAGAAATTTGTAGTGAAATAAACTGGTTAAAACTGAGAAATCCTGCAGTTCATTCAATTATTGGGAATGTTTTCATGAGCAAAAAAATTCACTGAACAAGAAGTACAGAAATACATAGTTGGTCAGACATAAGAGCTGGTCATCAGATGTGCAAAAACTATTTGCACGAATGCACTATGTATTTACGCGGCTGTAAGGCACTTACCTGCAACAAAGATTTCAATCCACATTTTTACTTTTCTGAAGAACATCTCATTGTCAGTTCAATTACCGAAACAAAGTGTTGGTTTTTTTTTTTCCAGAAATCCTGAATACCAGATATTCCGTGCAATCAAACCTCAGGAGGAGCTACTATCTAAAGCCAAAGTTGGACTCAGCCCAGAAATTTTTAAGTGGTGCTTCATGGTCACATCAGATTTTCTAGAGCTTACAGAACATCAAAAGAATCATCTTTTGCTCAAAATCTAGTAAGAAAACGTGTCCCATCAGTGATGTTCCATGGATTATATTCAGGAACTTCAAGCAGCTACTCAACCTTCTTGAGCTGACTATACCTGACTCCAGCAAAAAACAACCTAAGGCTGAATGAAAACTACCTTCCCACACCTTGCTTCATCTTATTAACACTACAGAGAGGATAAACAGATTTTTGGCCCATCATCTGCTACCTCAAAGTAAATTCCTTTCCAGGCTGTGCTCAGCCACTCGAATACTTACTCTGCATGTCTAATTAAACCATATGTTTTTCAGTTGATTAACCAGTTAATATGGAAGTGAAATGTCTAAATTTCAACCCTGTCTTGGCAAATAACCACAAGTAGAAGCTTCAGCAAGTGAGTTTACTTGTTTTTACCACATCCACCTACATAAAGTAATTGAAGAACCAAGTCTGGTAAATACAAAAAAGGCTTAAACAATGTCATTTTCAATTGATTTGCTGAC